CTATTCCTTATGCCGACAGCCTCCTACATGTGTCAATTTTTAATAGACTCTTCCTTTCCTGTACACATTACATATCACATACTGCAATTACAGTGTCTACCCTATTATAATACCTTTTTTTGCTTTATGTATTTGTAAATATTTCCCACATTGCTTTATATTTCTCTCAATCAAGTATAAATTGTTGCATAATAATACCATCAAATTGATATCCACTGTATATAATTCTAATTAATTAATAATTCTTAAGCCTTCAGTTTGTATCAGGTCTTTATGTTAAAAGATGTGTAATACGAAAATGAATCATTGTTCCTCATTTTGAATTTTTCATTAGTTTGAGGCTCCTTTGTCTAAAACCTTTTGCCTTATTTAGACTTGGTACCTGAGGAAGAAAATTGGGCAATGGAAGGATTGTGGATGTAAGGTTTTACCTTCTGCAGACCGTCTATTTCATTTGGCAGCAGCACAATCATGCTTAGGTCTTCACCTTTGTACGGTATTTCCAGAACTCTGGCCTGCACATCCTCCAGCAAGGCAAAATTCAAGAATTTTCTTTGATTCATCATCTGTACAGATTTGCTTGTGTCCTGCAATAAATCAATGTGCCAAACAAATACCAAGTGAGCCTCAAGCCAAAATGACAATATCATTGAGTTACTAACACATCCTTCTCTTTCTAAGAAATAAGGCAGGAATTTTGTGCATAGGAGAAAAGAATTTCTATAAGTATTTGTAGCTAAATAAGTTATAAGAATGAAATGTTTTACTTTGCATGGTACATTCCATCAGATGTGTTTAAATTTAACATGAGTGGATTAATAAAATGTGGTACATGTATACTATGGAATACTACTCAACTGCAAAAAACGATGGTGATCTAGCACCTCTTATATTATCTTGGAGAGAGCTTGAGCCCATCCTTCGAAATGAGGTATCACAAGTATGAAAAAGTAAGCACCACATGTACTCGCCATCAAATTGGTACTAACTTATCAACACTAAGGTGCTCACATGGCAGTAATACTCACTGGGTGTCAGTCAGGTGGGGGAGTGTGGGTGGGTAAACTCACAGCTAATGGAGACGGAGCACACTGTGTGGGGGAAGGGCACACCTCTAGCCCTGGCTTGGGTGAGGCAAAGGCATTACTTGTAACCAAAATGTTTGTACCACCATAATTTTCTGAAATAAAAAAATTAACATTCCCTGTATAACTACATTACATTATATAAATAAAATATATGCAATACCTTGTTCAGCCAAAATTTGCCCTCTTTAGTATCTTCTTTATTAAATTTCTCCTTCCACTGCCCTTTGAAATAGACTGCGTTCACAAGAACCAGTATGGTGGTGGATTTAAGAGTGTTGTGAGGAAATAGATCTTTGATTTTTCCTGCAAGGAAAAGAAAAAAAGCATCTGTCATGCACGGTACAAGTAGAAGATGTGTGGAAGATGTGTGGAAGATGCTTTGCAAAAGTCCGTGACTGATCATTAATTATTCACCATGTCACTAATTTAGAAACTCACTGATCAACAGTTTACCAGACGGAGCTGTCTTCATGGCTGCAGCCCGA